GGCACTATGGCACAACAGGTGAAGCAGCCACATGCGACACTGGCATCCCATATTTATCCCACATTTAGTCCCCACTGCTCTGCTTCTGATCCAGCTTTCTGCTAATGTTCCCGAGCAAGCAACAAAGGATGGCCCAAGTACTTGGGTGCCAGCTACCACATGGGAAACCAGGATGGAGCTCCAGGCTCCTGGCTTTGGCTTTGTCCAGCCCTGGCCATGTGGGGACTGAACCAGCAGATAGAAGATTTCTCTCTTCTCTCTGTAAAATTCTGCCTTTCAAATAAATAAATTGGAAAAAAAAGATTATCTGTTAATGGCAACTGGCCTGCCCATGATCACAGGTTTTGTGGAAATACAGACACTTCATTAACAATGCTCAGAGAGCCTGCGTGGGACGATCAAGGTGCCAGGCAAGCGGGCCTTCCTCCACAGCACCCGCTGAGACACCTGCTCTGCCCCTCTGAGCACACTCATTCTCACTCTCATACTCACTCTCACACCAAGGCAGGTGGCCTTTGCAGGTCCTTGAGGTTAGAATTCCACTGCTTGACACAAATGCCGACTTCTGCAATCTCTAAAAACCTCTTTGCTTTGTTTTTAGAAGCCACCTTTGGTTCAAAACAAACATAATACAGAGAGAGTAATTTAAAGTGGCCAAAAAATAATAATAGCAACTGTATTCACACTTTTTATAAATTCTTAGAAATTGAGTAATCACAAAGGTATAGTATTAAAAATGTAGTTCCTAGATTATACTGAGCATTAATGTTCCTTATTTGGTGACCAGCCAAGAAGGCATTCAAACAGGAGTAAGACTATATATGAGTTTTCCAGCAAAAAGCCATTATAGTTATACATACTCATAAGATTCTTAAGGGCAAAATTACAAATGAACTAATTATTCCATTTAGTATATTTTTGAGAGACCTACAGGTGCAAACACAAAGGAACAGTCTGTGGGAGTTTCGCAGCCATTCTCTAAACTACTTACATATCAGACCAAATGCTACAAAAGGAGTCCAAGAAGTTCAGTAGGGCAACTCCCTAATGGGAAAGCATAACCATTCAATCTTCATTTCTCAGATGTTTCTTTCAGAGTACCAGATTTCTTTTAAAATTTATTTATTTATTTTAAAAGACTTTATTTATTTGAGAGGTAGTTATAAACAGTGAGAGGGAGAGACAGAGAGAAAGGTCTTCCATCCACTGGCTCACTTCCCAAATGGCTGCAACAGCTGGAGCTGAGCCGATCTGAAGCCGAGCCGATCTGAAGCCAGGAGCCAGGAGCCTCCTTGGGGTCTCCTATGTGGGTGCAGGGGTCCAAGGACTTGGGCCATCTTCTACTGCTTTCCCAGGCCATAGCAGAGAGCTGAATCGGAGGTGGAGCAGCCGGGACTAGAACCGGCGTCCATATGGGATGCTAGCGGTGCAAGTGGAGGATTAACCTACTGCGTCACAGCGCTGGCCCCAAAATTTATTTTTAAACATAGGCTTATTTTCTTGAAAGGCAGAGACAGACAGAAGAGAGCTCTCCCATCCACTAGTTCACTCCTCAAATGCCTGCAACACACAGGAGCCCAGAACTCAATTCTAGTTTCGCATGTGAGTGGCAAAGGCCCAATACCTGAGTCAGCACCTGCTGCCTCTCAGTGTGCCGCAATAAGAAGCTGGAACTGGGAGCAGAGCTGGAACCTGAACTCAGATACTCCACTATGGGATGCAGGTATCCCAAGTGACATTATAACCACTCCACCAAATGTCTGCTCTCAAAGTACTGTAATATTAAACAGAACTAGAATTTGATAACCCAAAGAATTTCCCAGCAGATGATAATATTGGATGCAACAAACTATTTTCATAGTTCTCATTCCCCTTTCTGGATGTCTGTCATAATCTGAGATATCTGACAAGTAAATCTAGGAGGGGGGGTGGAGTTGGAGGAATCTAATGAGAAAAAATGTTTCAATATTGGCTATCAGTATTACAATAATGCAGTGCCCTCTTGTGGGAAGAAGAGGTAACTCTTAGGCTTAATTCCAGAAGCTGAGTTTCATTCCTTCATGATGAATAATAATGTTAAAGTAGATTTTGTGAGAAAGGGCGATCAAAGAAGGAGGTAACTTTCTCTGAAGGGAGGAGAGAACTTCCACTTTGATTATGGCCTTGTCTAAATAATGACGGAGTTTGTGAACTCAAGAGGCTTCCATAGCCTTGGCAGCTCATGATAAAAGCCTCGGGTGATCACTGACATCATAAATAAGAGTGTCAGTTGTTAAATCAACAATGGGATTCACTTTGCACTTACTCCCCACGTAGGGTCTCTGTCCTTAATGTGTTATACTATGTTAATTAAAGGTAAAACTAGTCTTCAAACAGTATTTATACTTTGTGTGTCTGTGTGGGTGCAAACTGTTGAAATTGTTAGTATAGAGTTGATCTCTATATAAAGATAATTAAAAATGACTCTTAATGAAGAATAGGATAGGTTAGGGAATAGGAGATGGGATGGTTTGGGGATGGGAGGGCAGGTATGGGGGGAAGAATCGCTTTAATCCAAAAGTTGTACTTATGAAACTTATATTTATAAAACAAAAGCTTTCTATAAAAAATAATAATAAAATGATAAAAAAAGATTTTGTGGTTATGCTTTAGTTGGGAACTTTTATTAAGCATCATAAAGTAAATAAATGTACAACAAACATGCCCCATCTAGAAGAGCACTTGGCACGGCAGTTAATTCGCTGCTTGGGTCACCCACATTCCATATCAGAATGTCTGGGTTTGAGTCCCTGCACTGTCCTCCATTCCAGCTTCATAATGCACACCCTGGGAGGCAGCAGGTGATGGATCAAGTACTTGGGTCCCTGCCACTCATGTGGGAGACCATGAATGAGTTTCCAGCTCTGGGCTTTAGACTGGCCCAGCCTCAGCTGTTGCAGGCATTTGGACAGTAAGTGAACCAGCAGATAGATAGCTCTCTGATTCTCTTTCTCGTCTTCTCTCTGCCTTTCAAATGAATTAAAATAAATATTTATTACCTAAAAATTTCCCATCTATTTTCACAAAAAGAAAACCCAAATAGAACAAAACAATAATTTTTTTAAATCTGGCAAAAATAGTCAAATATATTTAGTCTGCTTAGCCAAGGAACATTTGAGAAGAAAAACAAGAGATAAAGTTTGGCTTTAGGTATACCAAGATATTTAATCACTATGTCGAAGAGAAAGAACCATCAGAATTATTTACTTATTTTTCTCCATGTTTATTTCCCTTTCCATTAAGATTCATATTATTCTTTTGTCCCAAGTATCCAAGGAAACCCTGTATATAATTATTATAGCACAGTCCCAACACAGAGAGAAAAAAGCTGACAAGGCTGACAACTGGAAAAGAAAATTCATACATGTTCTCAAAAGTGTGTTGGGGCCAGAGTTGTGGCACAGCAGGTTAAGCCTCTGCCTTCAATACGGGCATCCCATGTGAGTGCTGGCTGGAGTCCTGGCTGCTCCCTTCTAGTGTGCCTGGGAAAACAGCAGAAGATGGCCCAAGCGCTTGGGCCACCATATGGGTGACCCAGACAGAGTTCCAGGCTCCTGGTTTCAGACTGGCCCAACCCTGGCCATTGAAATCATCTGGGAAGTATACCGGCAGATGGAAGATATCTATCATTCTATCTGTCTCTCTCTCTCTGCCTTACAAATAAACCATTCAGATCTTAAAACAAATAAACAAAAAATTCTCTGTCACCCAGGCTTAAAAGTAGAACTCATCATAAATAAATAAAAAAGTTTTCATTAGCAACTGACAGCTGGCATCATATGCAAACATCAGAAGAGAACCTGGAAAACTACCCTCTCTCTTTCCAGAGGGATGGAAAATGTATAAAAGTGATAAAATGTATAAAGGACCCATGGCCTCTCCTCAGCTCATCAAACCAAATGATCAAAAATGTATACTGAGTACTTAGGACTATCACATCCCAGCAACCTTCTAACCAGTTGAGGGCATCTACAATGACCTAACACATCACAGCGTGCTGTAGTTAAGTACTTTACAAAACAATTTATACACATGCTGTATAAAACAAAGCTGTCATCATTATAATTTAAATCCAATCTCCATGCCATTAGCAAACATCACAGGAAAATACTTGTATCCACAAAGAGCACTCTCACACATATAATACCCATCTACACAGAGACACAGAGACATTCAATACACATGCTATCAAAGTGTCAGTTGCTCCTGTTCTGTGAACACACTTCCTGTATTAGATAATCACAAAACATCGTAGGGGTATTTAGGTTTTCCTGAGATCTGGTACCATACATAATATTAAAGAACTTAGTTTAATGAATGAATGCATGTTTGCTGTTTTCTGTTTGGTTTAGTTTCTCCCAATCATCTTACCAAAGGGATGCAGTAATGTTTGACACATGGTTTTAGTAGCTTCCCTAAGATTGATGGATTGTTGTAACTCGAGGGTTTTGAACCCTTGGATGAAAGCAGGACAGTAAGGGAAGGACTTGAGATATTTTGTTGAAGGTGATAAACAACAGTATCAGTGTCCCAGAGGAGCTCAGACGTCAGAGAATGTTACAGATCCTTGTGGAAGTAATAAAATTAATGACGACAAAATAGCAACAGCACAGGTGTCCTGGACTTTCACAAAATAGCAACAGCACAGGTGTCCTGGACTTTCACAATGCTGTTCAGGGCTTTGATTTCAAAAGGAATAAATCAATCATCCACCCATTAGCATGAAAGCACGGGGAAAGACTGTGCAATCAACTGCCATGCATTCCCGATGCTGCCTCACTGGTGGGGACGCAGGTCACTGTATCAGGACCAGCATCTAAGCCGTCAACCGAGGGTACTTAATGTTTCAGTTTCAGAATCCTACTTCCCCAGCTTTTCCCGTTAGAATGAAGCCCAGAAGCAGCTGAGACTCAAAAGGATGAGGCACAAACATCTTTATGAAACATCAAATCGATTCATACCTGAAGGCAGACTGATCCGATGTCCGTCTTTGAGCTTTAACCGACTTCTCTTAAACTTGCCCTTCCTCTTCTTCACGTTGGGCTTGTCCTGGTTCAGCTGGAAGAGCATGATGTTGAGCTCGCGCTCCAGCACGTGGATCTCGCGCTCGGCGAGCTGCTGCTCCCGCCGCCTCAGCAGCTCTTCCTGCGACTTCTGCTGCAGCGCGGCGCGTGTCAGCTCCTCCTCGCGGGACCGCAGCTCCTGCGCAGAGACGCACGGGCACAGGCGTCAGGCGCCACGGCGAAGTCAGGCCTCCGGGTTCCCGTACACAGACGGACACTGCTCCACCCCTGGTCACTCTGGTCCACATGGGACACGGCAATCAGGAGCTAAGGACCTGTCTAGCGCTGCGTTAGCTAAGATGAAAACCAAAGCCCTCACACAGGCTCCATTCTCCTCTGATCCTAAAGGAGGCATCTCAAACTATCTGCACCTGATTTTAACATTTCTCTCTCTCCGTCTCTGGCCTTCAGAATCTCCTGACACAGCAAATGTACTTTAGGGGTGTGCATACGAAAATACTGGCGTGTCTGAGTTCAAGTCCCAGCTGGGCATCTGATTCCAGCTTCCTGCTAATGCGTGCCCTGGTAGGCGGCAGGTGATGACCCAAGAACTTTGGTCCTTGCTACCCATGTGGGTGACTAGATGGAGTTCCAGGTTCCTGACTGCAGGCTGGTCCAGCCCCAGCTGTTGCCGGCATTTGGGAAGTGAGCCAGCAGATGGAAGATCTCTGTCTGTCCATCTCTGTCTCTGTCTCTCTTTTTCTTTTTTTAAAAAGATTTATTTATTTGAAAGTCAGAGTTACACAGAGAGAGGAGAGGCAGAGAGAGAGAGAGAGGTCTTCCATCCGATGGTTCACTCCTCAATTGGCCGCAATGGCTGGAGCTGTGCTGATCTGAAGCCAGGAGTCAGGCGCTTCTTCCCAGTCTCCCATGCAGGTGCAGGGGTCCAAGGACTTGGGCCATCTTCCACTACTTTCCCAGGCCATAGCAAAGAGCTGGATTGGAAGTGGAGCAGCCGGGACTAGAACTGGCACCCATATGGGATGCCGGTGCTGCAGGTGATGACTTTACCCGCTATGCCACAGCATCGCTCCTCTTTCATATAAATAAAAAATTAAAATTAAAAAATAATATGTACATAACACACAGTAACAAAGTACACACGTGAATGACATATTTTAAAATAAAGCTAAAAATTAGAGCTCAACTAATTAAAATATAATTATTCTAATTACAGAAGACTGCAATTCTTTACTTGCAATTCTTTATTTGGGGACTTCCTTCAGAACATGTTAAGAGTTTGCTTAGGGAATAAAACGTCTTGGTGAAGACACCGAGGGAATAAACAAAGCTAAGGTAATAGGTGTCACCTAAAAGCCTGTTGGAAATTAAAATGCGACACCTCTGAAATCATGAGCCAAAAGAAAATAAATTCAGTAACAAAGAACTTTTCAGGATTATATTAAAAAGTGGGACATAAGGAAAGTTATCACTTTACAAGACATCTCATGAAAGAACTAATGGAAGTTCCTCCACTTACTGATTAAAGCAAAACTTTAGAATTAATGAACCTCTGAGATTAGAACATCTATCATTAAAAAGTACTTTTATTCCTATTAGAAAAAAGCTATCTAGAAGTAAAATTGAGAACTATAAAGAGATTTAAAACCACAGATAGGTCCATTTGTTAAGTTACTTGGTTTTTATTTGAAAGGGAGAGAGCAAGAGAGAGAATCTTCCATCTATTGGTTCACTTCTTAAATGCCTACAACCACCAGGACAGGTCAGGCTGAAGCCAGGAGCCTCCAGGTCTCCCATGTAGATGGCAGGTACCCAGGTACTTACGCCATCATCGGCTGTCTCTGGGGGTGCACACTGGCAGGAAGCTACATGGAAAACAGAGGTGGAACTTGAACTCGGGCACTCCAATAGGGGATGTGGGCAAACTGAGTGGTGACTTCACCTGCTGTGCCACAACACTTAGCCCGTACATGACCATTCTTATTTCGTTTCTGTGAAGTATGCTCTTCTTTACTACAGATGTAAAGGTTCCTGTTAGCCAAACTGCTTTTTGTTCTTCACAGAACAGAAAGCTCTTCCATAGAGATCAAGGCATCTGCAGATTTTTCTCAACAGTGCTCCAGGAAAATTTAATCATAAAGATCCCCAACAACACAATCTTTGTTTGATGTTGTAGATCCCTTCTCAGGTGGAGATTTGGTCTGTGAGCACCTAGCACTATGAGTGTGGTACAAATATATCCTACTTTATATAACCAGGCAGTGCTCTCAGTAGGCCACCTCACCATACCAATCCATAGGGAAACACTGCAAGGAGGGCCAGCATGGTGGCACAGCAGGTTAAGCCACTGCCTATGACGCCAGCATCTCATAAGACTGCCAGTAACAGTCCTGGTTGCTGTACTTCCAATCCAGCTCCCTGCCAATGCAGCCGGGAAAGCAGCCTAAATGGTCTGAGTGCTTGGGTCCTTGCCACACATGTGGGAGACCCAGATGGAGTTCCAAACTCCTGGTTTTGGCCTGGTCAGAGCTGGCCATTGTAGCCAGTCAGGGAGTAAACCAGTAAATGGAATCTCTCTCAATCTCTCTCTCTCTCTCTCTAACTCTGCCTTTCAAATAAATAAATATATCTTTAATTATTAAAAAAAAAAAGTGAGAAAAGGGGCCGGCACTGTGGTGTATCAGGTTAAGCCGCCTGCAGTGCTGGCATCCCATATGGGTGCTGGTTCGAGTCCCAATTGCTCCTCTACTGATCCAGCTCTCTGCTATAGCCTGGGAAAGCAGTAGAAGATGGCCCAAGTGCTTGGGTCCCTGCACCCGCACAGGAGACCTGGAAGAAGTTCCTGGCTCCTGGCTTCAGATTGGCGCAGCTCCGGCCGTTGTGGCCAATTGGGGAATGAACCAGTAGATGGAAGACCTCTCTCTGTCTCTCCTTTTCTCTCTGTGTAACTGTGACTCTCGAATAAATAAATCTTTAAAAAAAAAAAGTGAGAAAATAAAATGAAAGACAGACTGCAGGATGGAGGTATATGGAAGAAACTAGTCAAATCATGTGACTAAAAGGTCAATTCAAGGCTACTAATGCCTTGGACTTCTGTGGATGGACCTAAAGAGTATTCGGAGTCCACCTGTCATGTAAAACAAAACACACATGGAAGACCATCCTCCCACAAATAAATCTCATGGAGAAACTGGAAGTGCTAACAACACAGAAATTATTTTGTTCAAGTCTAATTCTGAATTTCTAGTAATTCTACCAAAGTGGACTGAGATTCAGTTTTGAAATATCCTTTGAATTAAGTTTTTTCATACAAACAAAACTTCAGGAGAATTACTTTACACCAATTGATGTTCAAGCTACTCTGCTTCTGATAATATGAACCAGCAAAATCTAATTTCTAGAATAAACTGGTATTTTTTTCTTTATGCCAGACATAAATGAGAATTTATTTCTTGAAAAGGAAGGAAAATGTTATATACTAAGAATAATTTTGTAATCTGTTTCTTAACTGCTGCATTTCTCCAACTGGTCTGGACAAACAGGAGATTTTAATGTAGTATATCTGGGGACATGGATAATTTCCAGTAAACTTCCAATTTGTAACTCATTATTATCCACTGTTTTGTTAAGATATTACTTTTCAGTGGTGCTGACATTAATCCAATTAGTTATTGTTAAATGAAATGGCCTAAGAACGAGATAAGGGCAGGAAATTCAACTGGGGCTTTTTAGTAGGTTACTATGGTAACTGAGGAAGAAACCATCTTTAATGCCAAATTCCAACATAAAATGATTCCCCTTGCAACAACTTCATGAATTTAAAAAAAATTACTTGCCTAAGAGTACAAAAAAAATAAGATAGAAAAGAAAGCAACAAAATAATCTTTCTTCAAAATAAATTTTTAAATAGTCAAAAGTAAAAAAATTGGGGGGGCAGCATCTGCAGCATTAAAATCTTTTGAATACTTAGAGATTATGAAGCACACAAAACAATACTTCTGATTGATGAGATTACTAGCAATGATACTGAACTGCCTGGCACAGGCTACTCTAGTAATAGCCAATCCGGCTCCCTGACAGGGGCTGTTAATCATTAACAATGGTATGCCTTCACATAGTGGTTCAAAGACAGGTGCAGGCACAGAACGCACACAGACAGACACTCCGAGATAAGAAGCCAGGAATTTAGGGAGGACCTGGTATCTATGGAGGTTGCAGTTTACTGAATAACACAGACCACAGCCAAGTTACTGACCATTAATTCCAAGTCTGACGCCTCCTACTTTAAGTAATCAGTCAACAAGAAAGGGAGATAGGGCACATACACTGTACTTTCTATTCCTTCAAAAAGATGCAGTTAGAAAGCTTTATGCAAATAAATCTTAGGAAAAAAAAAAATGGGGCTGGTGCTGTGGCATAGCTGGTAAAGCCACCACCTGCAGTGGCCAACATCTCATATGGGCGCTGGTTCATGACCTGGCTGCTCTACTTCTGATCCAGCTCTCTTCTATGGCCTGGGAAAGCAGTAGAAGATGGCCCAAGTGCTTGGGCCCCTGCACCCACGTGGGAGACCACAAAGAAGCTCCTGGCTCCTGCTTTGGATCAGCCCAAATCCAACTGTTGTGGCCATTTGGGGAGTAAACCAGCAGATGGAAGATCTCCCTGCACCTCTGTGTCTGCCTCTCTGTAACTCTGCCTTTCCAATAAATAAATATGTGTTAAAAAAAAAAGAAACATTTATGTAAAAAAAAAGTATTACATATTTTTCAACTGCAAATTAAAAGGTTCACAAGATACTCTAAACACTCTTCAAGGAGTAATGCATAAAAATCAAATAAAAAGAAAAAAGACACCATTAAAGGATAGCTCAAAAATCAATGAAAAGTATAACACACAGGGCTGACACCATGATGCAGTAGGTTAATCCTCTGCCTGTGGCACCAGCATCCCATATGGGCACCAGTTCGAGTCCCAGCTGTTCCACTTCCCATCCAGCTCTCTGCTATAGCCTGAGAAAGCAGTATAAGATGGCCCAAGTCCTTGGGTCCCGGCACCCATATGGGAGACTGGGAAGAAAAGCCTGGCTCCTGGCTTCAGATCAGCACAGCTCCAGCTGTTGCAGCCAACTGGGGGGTGAACCAATGGTTTAGAACTCTGTCTCCCTCTCACTGTCTGTAACTCTATCTCTCAAATAAATAAAATCTTTTTTTAAAAAAAAAGTAGTTTTAAAACAAAAAAAAATTTTTTAAAGTGTAACACACACCACAAAATGGAGAGAGCTGACACATGTTCTTGAAGCCTGCTTTTGTTTTTAGGCCACATGTAGTTAAGAATGAATTCACTGGGGGCCAGCGCTATGGCGCAGTAGGTTAATCCTCCACCTGCAGTGTTAGCATCCCATATGGGTGCTGGTTCTAGTCCTGGTTGCTCCTCTTCCAATCCAGCTCTCTGCTGTGGCCTAGGATAGCAGTAGAAGATCGCCCAAGCCCTTGGGCCCCTGCACCCGCATGGGAGATCGGGAAGAAGCACCTGGCTCCTGGCTTCAGATCAGCGCAGCTCTGGACGTTGCGGCCATTGGAGAGTGAACCAATGGACGGAAGACCTTTCTCTCTGTCTCTCCCTCTCACTGTCTGTAACTCTACCTTTCAAATAAATAAATAAAATTAAAAAAAAAAGAATTAATTCACTGGTCTGGCTATATCTTACAGCTTCACAAATAATTAAAAACATATACACATCACATCCATTCCAAATTTAAATTCTGATTTACAGCTTTGTTTTTCCTCAAAGGACTTTCCAGTCCCCCAAATATATTTGTTTGTGATTAAACACTTACTTTTAGAATTCCTGAAAGTAATTTGGAGAAATGTTTTCTTAAAATAAAAAGTCTTTTCCTTGTCATTTTAAGTAACGTGTTCAAGTTTCAGTGGCATCACGAATGTAATCCTTGAAAGAACTGCAGGAGTTAAAGTGTCACCCAGTGGGCGGCTTCCCAGCATTCCAAGCAAGGTTCCTGGAACTCCCTGGGACTGGGCCTCAGCCTCAGCCTCAGCCTCAGCCCAAGTCCACTCACATTTTCTAAGGCATTCACCTTGAGGTCATTACCTCCAAACCCAGAGACAATGTGCAACTTCTTTCCTCCCTCCTCTACTTGGAAGGCCTCCCAGCACTGGAGGGCAGCATTAGCCGGACCTTCCTGGCCCCAGGCTGGGCTACTTCTGTTCTCCAAGTACTCAGATTTCCAGGCTCCCTGCCTTCTGGGCCTCTGTCCTTGGGAGGCGCTCAGGGTCACTCAGAATGCTGTGGGCGTGTTCTGACCAGGGCAACCTGGGTTAGTTTTTCTTACTGACAAATTCTATGTATGTATTAGTGGTGCCACGGTCTTGGGTTGTACTTAGCTGGGCCATAATTTTAAACTTAGAAAACCCCAAAACGTCGAAGCAAGAGAGTGAAATTACCTTCACATTGATTTCTTGAAGAATGACTTGAGCAGCCATTCTTCTGTCTAACCAATATTTCTTAACCATTTTAAAGTACAAAACACCTGTGCATATGTCACGGATATTTAATAGATGCTGAATTTTTACATGTGTCTCAGAGCTGCTCAAGGCCCTTGTGCACCATACTCTGATCCTATCCCCTGCTTCCTCAGATCTGCTGCTCACTAAATTGGTGTGTTCCTGCCCCTGCCTATACTTCCATCCCTTTTTTTGTACACTGGAATAGTTCTGTTTCATATTTGTGTAAGTGGTATATAATGTAACTATTCTTCTGCAACTCACTTGAATCTACCCAGTATTAGATTTATCTATACTGGAGCATGATGTTAAACTTTATGCACTGTAACTACCAGGTTGGCTATGAGCCTTCAGTGTGAATGTCTAATGAAATCATGCAAAGCCATACTTCACAACTTTAACATGGGAAGTTTAGTCTTAGCTATGATTCTATGAGTAGTACATGCCAACATTCTATATTAACAAATAAACAAATGAACACTTTATTGAAACAAAGTAAAATCCCCTGCCTAAAAAGAATTCTATTAGCTTAGCAACACAAGTGTATGGTATAAAAAAATTTCTTTCCAGAAGATTATGTGAGTTAATATAAGGTAATCAATAATTTAAAACATTGTACTTCAACATGTTATAATTATACATGTGCAAACACTGTATGTACAACAGAAGAATTAAAACTATTGAACTATTATACACTTCAGATGAGATTTATCAAAGTGCCCATGTACCACAAAAATGTCTTTAATTAAATAGATGCTATGAAGGAATGTGCACTGTGGCACAGCAGGTTAAGTCACTGCCTGTGATGCAGACATTCCATGTGGGCACCATTTCGTGTCCCAGCTGAGCCACTTCCGAACCAGCTCACTGCTAATGGCCCCAGGAAAGTGGTAAAAGATGGCCCAAGTGCTTGGGTCCCTGTACCCATGAGGGAGACCCAGATGAAGCTCCTGGCTGCTGGCTTCAGCCTGGCCCAGACCTGGTAAGTGAGGTCATATAGGGGGTATACCAGAGCACTGATCTCTGTCTCTATCTTAGTAACTCTGCCTTTCAAACAAATAAAAATATTAAAAATATTATGAAAACAGTACATTCTATGAATTGAATGAAGAGGTCTTCAGTGCCCTTTAATAGTAATTGTCACTATTTGGAGTCAGTGCTGTGGCATAGCAGGTAAAGCTGCCACCTGCAATGCCAGCACCCCATACGGGCACCACAAGTTTGAGTGAGTCCCAGTTGCTCCACTTCCAATCCATCTCTCTGCTATGGCCTAGGAAAGCAGTGGAAGATGGTCCAATTCCTTGGGTCCTTGCACCCGCTTGGGAGATCTGGAAAAAGCTCCACACTCCTGGCTTTGGATCAGCTCAGCTCCAGCCATTGTGGTCATTTGGGAGTGAACCAGTGGATGGAAGACCTCTCTCTCTCTCTCTCTTTCTCTCTGCTTCTCTGTAACTCTGCCATTCAAATAAATAATCTTTTTTTTTTTAAAGTAATTGTCACCATTCTAAAGTGACCATGCCAAGTCAACTCACTGCTGAACTTTTCTGCCTTCTAATTAGGCATGTTTTTACCTCCCATAGTTCTCTTTGCAAGTGCACTGTGGTATCTGTATGTTTAACATACAGGCTTATTTTTTCCCCCTTGAAATTTATGAACCAAACACAAATCATTCTGTTAAAGAGTTCAAAATGTATGCATTCTCCTGGTTTCTCCAATAAAGTAAGAGTCTTGGAAATAAGAAGAGGCAAATAGGAGAGAACTTCAAGAGACTTTATAACATGTAATGAAAAACAGCACAAAGATCTTGTACAAAATCTGCCCAAATCAACCATAAAGTCAACTATAAAAGATCTTTGTGGGGGCCAGCACTGTGGTGTAGCAGGTGAAGCCACTGCCTGCAGTGCTGGCATCCCATGAGTGCCAGTTCGAGACCTGGCTGCTCCACTTTTGATCCAGCTCTCTGCTGTGGCCTGGGAAAGCAGTGGAAGATAACCCAAGTCACTGGGCTCCTGCATCTGCATGGGAGACCTCCTGACTTCGGATTGGCGTAGCTCCAGTGGTTGTGGCCAATTGGGAAGTGAACCAGAGGATGGAAGACCTCTCTCTCTCTCTGCTTCTCCTTCTCTCTCTAACTCTTTCAAATAAATAAATATTTTTAAAAAAATCTTTGTAACATTTCAACATGGACCATGTAAGATATTATTGTTAATCATTTAATAGAGCAATGGCAAGAAAGTTATTCTAAAATATTCTAACCAATTAGAAATACACAGTGAAGCACTTACAGGTAAAATGATATGAATCTAGGATATGATTTAAAATTCTCCAGTTTAAAATACGGCAAGGGTAGGTAGGTGTTTGGCCTGGCAGTTTAGACATCCACATCCCTGTGTTAAGAGTCTCAGCTCCACTCCCAACTGTAGCTTCCTGCTAATGCAGACCCTGGGAGGCAGAAGGTAATTGGGGGGGGGGAGGGGGGAGGCTCAAGTAATTGGATTCTTGACATCCATATGAGAGACCTGTATTGAGTCCCTGGCTCTAAAGCTTGAGCCTGGCCCAAGTCCAGCTGTTGCATCTTTTGAGAGTGAACCAGCTCGTGGGAACTCTCTCATTCTCTCACATAAATAAGTACATACTTTAAAACCATGATAACAGGGAAGAGAAAATGAATAAAATGCTAAAATGATTATGACAATGATTGAATCTGGTTAATGCATACAAACGGTTTATTATGCTATTGTCTCTCCTTTTTTAAACATTGGAAAGGTCCACAAATAAAAAAGCTTTATTCTCCCAATTATTCATTTTGAGTACACTTCTGATTGTTTTTATTTTTAATCTGAAGGAAGAAATCAAGAAACACTGATATCTGAAAATATTTTAGAATAACGCTAACAGTGCCTCTTGGGTCATAGTTTCCAGGATGCTCATAACTGATTATATTATGTAATTAGACATCTCTCTCTTGGGGCTGGAGCTGTGGTATAGCAGGTAAAGTCACCATCTACATCGCTGCATTCCATAAAGTGCTGGTTTGTGTCCCAGCTGCTCCATTTCCAGTTCAGCTCCCTGGTAATGCTCCTGAGAAAGCAGCAGCAGATGACCAAGTGCTTGGGCCCCTGCACACGTGTGGGAGACCTGGGAGAAGCTCCTGATTCCTGGCTTCAGATCGGCTCAGTTCTGGCTGAGCTCGGTCTCTCTTTGTCTCTACCTCTCTGACTCTGACTTGCATATAAAATGAATAAATCTTTAAAATAATACATAGAATAAGAGAATCTTAACCTACAAATATTAAAAAAAAAAAAGCTCTCTCACCTTTTCCTTTGTTCTTAACTCATCAAACATTTGTTGAATTTCCAGTTTCCAGTCATCTTGCATGGAATGAAAAGATTCCTGAGGCATTTCAGTCATCACTGCCCCTTCAATAGCAGTCAGCTGTTCAAGAATTAAGGCAAATGATGGGCGAATATGAGGGTCTTGTTCCCAGCATTCTAAAATAAACAAGAATCACAGTAATTCCATCTCTCTGCACAGTGCAGGTTATCTCCAAGCCACCAGAGCCTCCAGACAATGTTCTGCACTGAAACAGAAATGCAATTTTATGCCTGTCCTTCTAACAGAAGCCAATGTCTATAGCACCACCTTTCTTGAAGATTTGATTTTATGATCTGAAAAACCAAAATGCTTTCTTTCAGACAGTGTGCACATCAGAGGCATGCATAGTACTATTAAATATAGCTAGTCTTGTCTACATTATACCACACGTAATAGATGCACACATGCTTTCCACACCTTGTCATGAACTCCGTGTTTCCAGCCCAAAGCTGCTGTGCCTGATAATTATCTGATACAGTTATATACATAAGCCAGCTCAAGAAAGCCTCTCTGAAATGTTATAATCACAAGAGAAGTTCTAAGAAATAGTCTAATAACCAAGTAAGGTAACTTGCTACTTACAAAAAAGAGTGAGTTAATTTTTAAAAGATAAGGATCAAATAGACAAGGTCATGGCAAAACCACACCAGTTAAGGTTGTAAAACATTTTTGATCATTAGGTTAAATTTAAAAGAGCAGATCTGGAGCCAAATCAATATCGTGTTTGAACTACAAGTGTACTCGGTGAAAACTTTATTACCATTCAGTTGGGTTTTGTATATAAATGAGTCACTGATAAAACTGGATCGTTTTTAAGTTACTTAGTTCATCAAAACTTTACTTAACACTTCAGATCAAAGACAAGCTTTCTAATTCTTGAAATGGCAGAATCTCTTAAAAGCTTTTGAAAATTGGCATCACAGAAATTACTTCTTGGTTATGTCTTTTCTAATGAGCAATTCTCCTTGACCCCACACACAAAACAAAGGCTGCACAAATACCTTTCATGAGCTTGGCAAACGGCTCGGGGCAGGTGGATGGAATGGGCAAAGTGAGCTTATTGACTGCTACCCCATAAGCCACGGCGAGACCATCAATGCCACGGTAGGGGACTTCTCCCGTGAGCAGTTCCCACAGCAGCACTCCATAGCTGGAAAGCAAAGTTTTCATGATGAAGCTTTCCTTCCAACACAGTTGGTGGGATAAACACAACGGTACCTGCCTCCAGCTCCTAAGAGGAACCTCTCTCCCAGCACAGCCCTGTGCAGTATTGTCCCAAGGTGGGAGATAAGCTCTTCCACCTAACAACTCAAACCCATGCAAATACATGCCTTCCTAGGAATCACATAGGCATTCATTCTAGAAGTTAAAATGACCTAATGAATATGAAAGCTTAGAGTGGACCCGATGGGTTTCAACAGAGTCCAGTGTTTGCCAGACTCTCAGAGAAATGTGGTTGTTCTGATGTTTCTCTTTCTACCTCATGTTCACCCCACTTCAATCAAACCTCTAAAGGACTGTTAGGATACTTGATTAGCCCAGTCCCAGAGAAATCTCAAGTTGCTCAACACAAGACTGAGCTGCAATCATGCTGCTTAATTATTTTTAAACTGGTTTTTTTTTTTGAAACTGTTTATTGTTCTGCCTCTCCCTTGATATTTTATATATTAACATTTCCACTGGCTTGCTTAACATTAATGGACAAAAGAAATCAGTGTGGGCCTCTTGTGCCTCCTAGCAAGGACAGGACATTTCTTCTTGTAATGCAGGAAGGTGAGGTGAAAAGGGAGTAAAAAGCAAGGAACAACAACAAAGCATTCACGCGTGGGACCCCCCAATCCCTGCTCCTGCTACTTCAGTTCCTCAAAGACAAAAGGAGTCACAAAGAGGAATGGGAAAAGACACAGGAGAATTTCTAAATAAATGCTTTAAAAGAAGCTGAAGAGTAACATTTCACTGTTTGTCCATCCCACAGACGCAAAGATACCCCAAAATTCAACTTTGCACAAAGTGACATAGAAATGAGCCCTGCACCTTATACATATTTATTCTGTTCTACTGTACTTGTCAGTATTTTATTTTCCTTAATTATTCTTCAAAACAAAGTACACTCTATTATCTTCTGTTAATTAAAAAAAGAAGTTACTCCAGGTGATCCACTTGACTTTAAGGTCAAATCCATGAGCATATAAGAAACACTGTCATGTTTAACATAACTAGTGAGCCCAATTTACTGTCCTGACCTTTCAAAATCCTATTAGCTTTAAGTTAAAAAAAAAAAAAAAGTTGGAAATTTAAAGGCAACTTAATCATTACACCATGTGTTGCTTTCACATTACATTTAAGCATGGTTTTTCAACACAGCAGACAGAAGGTGGTAAATGATGATTAGAGGAAAGACAAAGACCCCAGTGTTTACATAAATTTGGTTACAGAACTCATATGATTACTTCCTAGTCTTAAGAGAGATGGAGTGGCCAGCATTGTAGTATAGCTGGTAAAACTGTCACCTGTGATGCTGGCATCCATATCAGTGCCAGGTCGTGTCCCAGCTGCAATCCAACTCCATGCCAATGCACCTGGGAAAAGCAGTGACGATGGCCCAAGTACCTGGGCTCCTGCCACTTACATGGGAGCCTCAGATGAAGCTCTTGGCTCCTGGCTTCGCCCTGGCCCAGCTCTAGAGGTTGTAGCCATCTGGGGAGTGAACCAGTAGATGAAAGATCTCTCTCTCTCTCTCTCTCTCTGTAACTCTGCCTTTCAGATGAATAAACAAATCATTAAAAAGAGAGACACAGAGAGAGAGAGATGGAGATTCACAATATCACGGGTACAACAGAAAAAGCCCACTCAGAAGTCCTAACCTACAAAGGGCTGGAAACTCTCCTGGCTCTAGGTTCATGTCATCCCTGGATATGATGATCATTAATTTAAAGACTTGTCCATTAGTGCCTACTGGACTCTGGATTAATTCAGAGAGATTCAGAGAGAGAATGCAGAAAACAATAGGATGTGCCAATCAAAGGGCCCTGGGAATGCTCCAGCTATGTTCTACTGGTCCTAGGTAGAGGTACTTGATCCCTGAGGCCCTGCAGCTAAGCCTTGGGGGCTCAGTGGGAGCAGTAACTGCATCAGGATTTGGAGGCAGAAACTTGAATTTGGATTCACAAGGTACAGCTCCACTCGCTAGGCCCTTAAAGCTGATCTTCAACTAACTCACCTATAAAACAGCAGTGAAATCTGCTCTATCACCTCAAAGCACTGTTTTGTTTAAAAGAAAAACTTAAAAAGGAAATAGGGGCCACACTGTGGCGCAGGAGGTTAGGCCATAGCTTACAATGGATACCAGCATCCCACATGGAAGCATGGGTTTGGGTCCCAGCTTCCTGCTAATCTGCCTGGGAAAGCAGCAGAAGATGGCCCTAGTAACTGGGCCCCTGTATATGTGGGAGACCTAAGTGGAGTTCCTGGCTCCTGACTTCAGCCTGGGTCAGACCTGCCTATTATAGCCATCTGGGGAGTGAACCAGTATGTAGAATATCTCTCTCTTTGTGTCTGTCTGTCACTCTGCCTTTCAAAGAAATACTTCAAAAAAAAAAAAAAAAAAGAAATATGTTTCAAATTATCTGGTTAGTTTCTTAACAATTATCTGTATTAGAGTTCATTAGTAGAGGCCTTAATAATTTCAAGAATAAGCACATTGAACTCACAGATTAAGAAAAATCACCTCAGAGGAGGGGCCTAAAACATTCTTAGAGAGAATAACTAAAACATGTCTAAATAAAAAAAGTTACTGGCAAATAACAATAACAAAATAAAATAAACAAAAAACATATAATTTGGCTTCTTGGAAGTGTCAGAGAATGAATAATCCATGATAGGCCATTTTTCTGAGAGAAGAGGATTTATATCATGAAAAAAAATGAGAAAAATATACCTAATTTGATAGAACTTTTTCTAAAACGTAATATGTACTTTTCTGACCTCTTCCTAGGTAGGAGATAGTGCAATCCAGCCTTTCCCGAACTCAGTAGCATAAGGCTTCAGGGCTGCGCTGCTAGCGGTCCTGGATCACAGCCTGGCACTGGAATCTGCTCCCTACTAGTTTTATCACCCAGAGCCAGGTTTGCAACATCTCAGTGCCTTTGCTACCTAATCTGTAAAACCGCTGTCATCAGAAGAGCTACTGTAAAAGTAGCTGATGGCATCTGTTTCAACACACAGGACAGTTCCCAGGCAGTATAACAACTGCCAAGGAAGAAGGGAGGGGAATAGAAGAAGACAGTCGGGAAATCCCCAGTCCCCAGTCCCCAGCACAATGCGGGTAAGGCAGCACTGCCTGCATGAGACTATCTGTATGAGAACATGATGCAACAGGGTTCTAGAGCCACAGGTGTATAATTCAGAGTGATGCCCTTCCCTGCCCTCACCCACCCTGACCTTCTACGATGTGCCTGCCCGTACTGCTGCATGCTGGAGACGGGTGGCTGTCAGTGCAGGTAGTCTCTCAGTCTGACTCATATTAGGTCATGCTTTTTTCTTCCTCTCATGCACTTTGCTTTCAGCTACCAGTTTCTACTATTACCACACTGGCATCCCTCTCCCCTCTCTAAATAACTGCTTTTAAAAAATCAGATTATCACCCTCTGTAAAACTGAGGATAAATTACAACTAAACAGATTTGCGGAGGCAGACTTCTCCAGTGAATGTATGCACTTAAGTCATATTCTGGGGACGGTGCTGTGGCATAGTGAGCTAAGCCTCCACCTGGGGTGCTGGCATCCCATATAGGCGTCAGTTCGTGTCCTGGATGCTCCACTTCTGATCTGCTATGGCCTGGGAAAGCAACAGAAGATGGACCAAGTGCTTGGATCCCTGCACCCGCATGGGAGACCTTAAACTCCTGGCTCCTGGCTTTGGACAGGGCCAGCTACAGCCATTGGGATCATTTGGGTAGTGAAACAGTAGATGGAAGACCTTTCTCTCTGACTCTCCCTCTCTCTCTCTGTAATCTCAAATAAATATAAATAAATCTTTAAAAAAATTCATATTCTGGGGCCAGTGCTGTGGGACGGTGAGTTAAAGCCAGTTCAAGTCTCGGCTGCTCCTCTTCCAATCCAGTTCTTTGCTATGGCCTGGGAAAGCAGTAGAAGATGGCCCAAGTCCCTGGGTCCCTCCACCCACATGGGAGACCCAGAAGAAGCTCCTGGCTCCTGGCTCCTGGCTTTGGATCAGCTCGCTCTGTTCCTTGTGGTCATTTGGGGAGTGAACCAGCGGAATAGAAGACCTCTCATTCTGGCTCTACTTCTCTCTGTAACTGTCTTTCAAAAAAATAAAAATAATTTTTTAATTAACCCGGCGCCGCGGCTCACTAGGCTAATCCTCCACCTTGCAGCGCCGGCACACCGGATTCTGTCCCGGTTGCCCCTCTTCCAGGCCAGCTCTCTGCTGTGGCCCGGGAGTGCAGTGGAGAATGGCCCAAGTGCTTGGGCCCTGTACCCCATGGGAGACCAGGATAAGTACCTGGCTCCTGCCATCTGATCAGTGCGGCGTGCCGGCCGTGGCGGCCATTGGAGGGTGAACCAACGGCAAAGGAAGACCTTTCTCTCTGTATCTCTCTCACTGTCCACTCTGCCTGTCAAAATAATAATAATAATAATAATAATTTTTTAATTAAAAAATTCATATTATGACTTCATTTAGAAGTCTTTTCTCCCTGCTTTCTGATTCTTCTGTATTTTATAATTCACAAGATCGCTATAGAGCATGACTGATTGCACAGCATTTGTATACATTGCAACTACACAGTTTATAACAAGAGCACTCAAAATGGTTATAGTCTTTACACATATTATTCTAATGAAAAATTGATTTATGATGCATTTCAATAGTTTTAGGGTTTTAAAATATAATTTCTTAAAAATAGCCAGTTTCCCTTGTGCAATTTGTTATTTTCATATGGCTAGAAAATTACTGTAATTAAATCAATGACAACACTTGTAATGCTTTATAAAAAGAGACTTTTTCAGCTACGACAGGCAGAGTCTGATTCATTACATAAAGGGTGAGGTTTGGGCACTTGGATTTTTTAAACAAGCCCTAGGACACTATGGAATCACCAACTCAACTGACAAGTATTCCAAACATTATAAGGAAAACAATTAGATCACATTTTCAATGTGGAGGCTAAGCTTGCAGTGCAAGCAATTTTATGGCATTTTTACCAACAGGGGTCTCTGCCACTGAATGCATTTGTGAATTTGAGGGAATAATTTCACTGCCTCCAGAGATTAAAGGAGAAAAACAATTTTTCTTGATCATGAAATTGGAAATCCAACCTGCCACACAGGATTTTCTATGAGCATTAAAATAAAGGCAAGGAAGCTCTGGGTGTCCTGTAACTACTGAGCAGTGTGACGCGCCTCTGTTGTTCTGCTGCTAGCATCTTCATCTCCATAATGAATAAGAAATCAAGATAACGTGGTGCTGCACTGGGTGCAGCTTTCCATCTTCAAACAGGAGGCTTTATTTTTCCCATGATGCAATCTACAAAATGAAGGAATCTGTCCAAAGTTTGTTCTCAAACTCCTTCCATGCTAATACTATTTGTGATCCACAAGGAATCACAAATGTGTTAAAGTGAAAATTAAATTTTATTTAGGCGTTACGAAATCTTAGCATTAGTGTTAAATTATAACCAGTCTTTAATAAAACTTCAGATTTAACAAAAATGTTCTCCTATCAAATAGATTATGACAAAAAAAAAAAAAACCCTTGTTACCCGTTCCATTGACATTATGATTATCTTGATCAAAAGCATAACACTGAGGCCGGTGCCATGGCTCAATAGGCTAATCCTCCGCCTTGCGGCGCCGGCACACCAGGTTCTAGTCCCGGTCGGGGCGCCGGATTCTGTCCCGGTTGCCCCTCTTCCATTCTAGCTCTCTGCTATGGCCCAGGAGTGCAGTGGAGGATGGCCCAGGTCCTTGGGCCCTGCACCTACATGGGAGACCAGGAGAAGCACCTGGCTCCTGGCTTCGCATCAGCGCAATGCGCCGGCTGTAGCGGCCATTGGAGGGTGAACCAACGGCAAAAGGAAGACCTGTCTCTCTGTCTCTCTTTCTCTCACTGTCCACTCTGCCTGTCAAAAATAAAAAATTAAAAAAAAAAAAAAAGCGTAACACTGTCTTCAAAAAAGCCTGTGCTAGGGTTGCTCAGAATTAGTGAATATTTTGGGACTCACTGAAATGGGGCTTAGCAACCAGTCTCTGTTGACGCCTCCCGAAGCCAACACGCACTCACCTCCAGGCAGTACGCACTCACCTCCAGACGTCGCTTCCCTTGGAAAACAAGGACGACTTGATGACCTCAGGGGCCATCCAGGCGTAGGTGCCTGCGGCACTCATCTTGGTGGTCCTGTGCCACTCCCTTGCTAGCCCGAAATCTGTGATCTTCAACGTTTTATTGCAGACGTCATCATGCTCTATCTTCTCCAGCAGCAAGACTAAAGAGAAACAAAACGAAGCAGACTTTTAGATTCCTGTGTCAGTCAAAATTGTTTTGTTTATTTTATCTATGTGAGACAGAGGTTTTCCATCCACTAGTTCACTCCAGAAATGCCACAACAGCCAGAGCTACACAGGGCCAAAAGCAGGAGCCTGGCACTTCATCTGGGTCTCCCATGTGGGTGGCAGGGACCCAGGTATTTGAACCATTACTCGCTGCCTTCCAGAAGATAGAACTGGAAGTGGAGCCTGGACTTGAACCCACACACTCAGATACGGGATGTGGAAGTAACACTTTAACCACTAGGCCAATACCTGCCCCGGTCACAATTTTTCTATAGCATTTAGAACACAATTTTCACTGTAGCTGGCAGAGAAAACAAGAATAAGCATGTATTTCACCGTTTTACCTCACAGCATGCACATCTGCATATCATAACCTTTAGTGGGTAATTTGTGCCTCAAGTTATGAGTTTTTAAAAAATTCCACAGCCACAATTCAGCATACTTCTTTATGAGTATTTCTCTTTACGAGAAGTAAATGATTTCTAAGGGCAAGAAACATTTACTAAGATACCACAGATAAGATCAGGAAGTCTGTGAAAGTTTACCTGACGTAAAAAAAAAATGTTATTTTCTTCCAAAGAATTCTTTCCTGACTTAAATGCAGTGTATCCTACCCAAAATACCAGTACACACTGCAAATGGATGAAATATTACCATAATTCATTTCCAAATATTATATTAAATCTGCAACATGCTTATGGAGACTTTAAAATCATTAAGATAATTTTCCAGATATCATCCACATACTTGGAATTTAGCAAAAAAGTAAACACTTTCCAGAAACTTCATCCGATGGGTTTCCCCAGCTCCCTCAGAGAGGCACAAGATGCACAAGAGCCTCTTCCAGGGACAAGGCCCACGTCCACGTCCGTCCCTGAGCTCTCCTGTCCCTTCAGCTACAGCAAACACACTTTCAGTCCCTCCCTGCCTGCGCCCTCCCTATCCTATCCTCCATCAGAGCCCCCCGCACTCCCCACCTCTGGCTGACTCTCCTCTGCCTGGAACCCCGCAGAAACACTCCCGGGGAGGCGCTCTCTCCCCTCTAACCTACTGCAGACTCCCACAAGATCATGGCATTCTTTCATTCTGTAAACGTTCCATGAGCAATCTACCAACACATGGCAACAACGTGGATGAGTCTCAAAACCATTACATGGGAAGTGGACAAAGCCAGACATACCAGGTACATAACCTGAATAAGGAACTGCTGGGACAGAAACCAGACCCGTGACTGCCAGAGGCGAAGGAGAAGATCAGATTGCAAAGGGACACTGGAGGATGTGATGGAAGTAGGAATTCCAGACCTTGGTGGTGGGGGTGCTTAAAGGATTACATAAGCATCTGCCCAAACTCATCACACTGTACAGCCCCCCAGGGGGTGAACTGACGTATGTAAGTCAGACTTGAACAAACCTGCATCAAAAACAAGAAAACTTCATGGTCCTTGTAACTCAGGGACAATCTCCACACTCCTAACCTTGGCATCCATGAGCTTCTGTATTTGCATAGCAACCTACATTGCAAACTGCACCTCATTCTCCTGGAGGTGAGCTCCATCTACTCACACCAGACACGCTCATTGTGCAGCTTGGATATTACCGTCCCAGGGAAAACTTCCAAATCGCCCTGAGCAACGTAACATGTTCCTCCTCTGTAAGCACATGAACCGTGTGTTTCTATTAAAACATTTAGGAAGCACAGTGTATAATTGTTTTTAACTCTGCTCCTGCAGTAGATTCTGCTCTGAGTGAGTGGGAGACCAAGAGAGGAGAGAGGAGAGAGGAGAGAAGAGAGAAGAGTGAGGAGAGAGGAGGAGGAGGAGAGAGAGAGAGGTGGCAAGGGAGAGGTTTCTCAGGGCAGAGGTAGACTGGGAGAAACATGTACAATCTCTCTTCAAATTCTTGGACCAAGTCTGCTGAATCTGGTTTACAGTAGCTATTTAATTCTAACAGAAGAAATAAATTTTAAAATATATTTGTTTCCATTTTATTTTAGAGAGAGAGAGAGAAAGATCTTCCATCTACTGGTTCACACTCCAAATGCCCACCAACAGCCAGGGCTGGGCCAGATCAGAGCCAGTAGCCCAGAACTCAGTCTATAGCTTCCACATGGGTGGAAGGGACCCAAGGACTCGAGCCATCACCTGCTGCCTCCCAGGGTACACATTAGCAGGATGCTGGATGAGAAGCAGAGGAGCCAGGACTCTGCTGTGGCAAGTGCACATCCTAAGTGGTGACTTCACCACCCTATATTATTTTTATTTTTATTTTTTTATTTTTTGACAGGCAGAGTGGATAGTGAGAGAGAGACAGAGAGAAAGGTCTTCCTTTGCCGTTGGTTCACCCTCCAATGGCCGCTGCAGCCGGCGCGCTGTGGCCGGCGCACCGCACTGATCCGATGGCAGGAGCCAGGTGCTTCTCCTGGTCTCCCATGGGGTGCAGGGCCCAAGCACTTGGGTCATCCTCCACTGCACTCCCTGGCCATAGCAGAGAGCTGGAATGGAAGAGGGGCAACCGGGACAGAATCCGGCGCCCCGACCGGAACTAGAACCCGGTGTGCCGGCGCCGCTAGGCGGAGGATTAGCCTGTTGAGCCGAGGCACCGACCCCACCCTATATTTTTATATCTGCACTTTGCTCATGCCATTTCCAGCTAATAAAAATAATTAAGAAAAAATATCACCACACAAGCACTGAGTGCTCACTGTATGCCTTACATGCACTATTTCATTCAATCCTCATAAAATCCCCAAAAGATAGGCGTTAATTACCAAAGGAGAAATCATACTGAAAAACTAAAATGACAAGGGGAATCCACTTAAATAGCAATACAAATTTCACAAAAAATAAATGTGTGAGGGTGGAAGAACTGTTCTTTAGGTTTTACCCTGAAAAATAATGTAAAAATCAGTCTATTTCCCCATTTATCAAATGACATTTTTGTCAGAAATATGCTATCAACTATGTACAAATTCCTAGAAGACAAAAAAAAAAAAAAAAAACAAGTAACTGAAATGTTTAATTATCCAAAAAAACTGGAGAATGGCATAGGACAAGGTATTCTTCATGTCTGGTTTGCGGAATATGATCATGGAGAGGGACACTTTCCCAAGTGTGGGAATGGTTGACATTGGCTGAGTGCATTCGATTTGTCAGAGAGCAATAGAGGTCTTTTCACCATATCATCCACACCACAATGCTTCAGGTAGACACCGTCATCTCTAAGTCACAGGTAAGGAAACCGAGGTGCAGAGATGCCGAGTGATCTGTCTGAAGTCACAGGGGTAAAGCACGGTGATGATCAAGCAGTCTGCTTCTAATCGCGTTCTGCACGCGTTGGCCACTTTTGTAAGTTTTGCACAAGTGCTTTCTTTTTCTTTCGGAAACTTCTCACCCTCAAAGTGCCCATTCTCCTCTGTCATTGGCTAAGTATCAGTTGATCTAAAGAGGTGACAGAGCTTAGTGATGAACTGAATGCCAGCCTGCTTGGTTCAGACCTCTGCGCTGTTGTTGCCTTGCATGTCCTGGGAATGAGGGCAGCACCTACATCTTAACATCATAGTGAGGGCTGGCGCCACGGCTCACTAGGCTAATCCTCCGCCTGTGGTGCCAGCACTCCAGGTTCTAGTCCCAGTTGGGGTGCCAGATTCTGTCCCGGTTGTTCCTCTTCCAGGCCAGCTCTCTGCTGTGGCCCAGGAAGGCAATGGAGGATGGCCCAAGTGCTTAGGCCCTACATGAGAATTACAATCTGCAAAGGTTATGTAGGGCACCCGCATGGGAGACCAGGAGGAAGCACCTGGCTCCTGGCTTCGGATCGGCGCAGTGCACCAGCCGTAGGGGCCATTTCCAGGGTGAAACAACGGAAGGAAGACCTTTCTCTCTGTCTCACTCTCTCTCACTGTCTAACTCTGCCTGTCAAAAAAAAAAAAAATCATAGTGAAGATTAAATGGATAGTACTGCATGTGAAGTGCTTAGATGGGGCCGGTGCTGTGGTGTAGTGGGTAAAGCTGCCACCTGCAGTGCCAGCATCCCATATGGGCACTAGTTCAACTCCTGGCTGCTCCACTTCCCGTCCAGCTCTCTGCTATGGCCTGGGAAAGCAGTGGAAGATAGCTGAAATCCTTGGGCCCCTGCACCTGCGTGGGAAGACCCAGAGGAAGCTCCTGCTCCTGGCTTCGGATCAGCGCAGCTCTGGCCATTGCAGTCAACTGGGGAGTGAACCAGTGGATGGAAAACCTCTCTCTCTTTCTGTCTCTCCTTCTCTCTCTCTGTAACTCTGACTTTCAAATAAATAAATAAAAATCTTTAATAAAGTGCTTAGAACAGAACCTGGGACACTAAGCATTCTTTTTTAAAAAAAGATTTATTTGGGGCTGGTGCTGTGGCACAGCAGGTTAAAGCCCTGGAATGAGGCGCCAGCATCCCAAATAGGCGCCAGTTCTAGTCCCAGCTGCTCCATTTCCGATCCAGCTCTCTGCTATGGCCTGGGAGAGCAGTAGAGGATGGCCCAAGTCCTTGGGCCCCTGCACCCACGTGGGAGACCCAGAGGAAGCTCCTGGCTCCTGGCTTCGGATCAGCGCAACTCTGGCCATTGCAGCCATCTGGGGAGTGAACCAGTAGATGGAAGACCTCTCTCTCTGTCTCCACTTCTCTCTGCAACTCTGTCTTTCAAATAAATAAAATAAATCCTTTTTAAAAAATAAATCTTTCAAATCTTTTTTAAAAATCTTTTTAAAAAAGGTTTATTTATTTATTTGAAAAGCAGAGTTACAGAGAGGCAGAGAAACAGAGGGGGAAAGGGGGAGAGGGAGACAGAGACAGAAGGAGAGTCAGAGATAGAGATCTTCCATCTGCTGTTTCATTCCCCAAAGGGTTGAAAAGGCCAGGGGGTTGGGCCAGGCTGAAGCCAGGAACCAGAAACTTCTTCCAGGTCT